TAGGTACAAGGGTTTTGGACTGCCGAGAATGATTTAGGATTAGCTTGAACTGAATTATCATCTTTTATGTGCAATATGAACAAGAATGTATATAAACTAAAGATCAGGAAAGTAAAATTATTGACATCGTTCAACAATGTTCGAATACATTCAAATTATCACATCATAATTTGTAAATTATGTACTCAAATTATCATCGTGTCCTTCATAGATAGCATCTTGATCTAGAAACAAAATAATGCACATATAATTGATTTTTTACTTTTGGCTAATAACAAAGCCAAGAAGAAGAAAGATATAACAATGTGGACAAAATCCAAAAATGACATGAAGACAAGAAAACTATTAAAATATCATATAGAATAATGTAAACAATCAAAAGGCAGTGCAGTTGGAAAAAACTATTATTCAAGGAATCATGTACATCAGATGGAACATACAACAAAATTTTTATCACCAAAAGCATAACAGAGTATTTCGCTCAATTGAATACCAACTTGTCCCAATAAATTAAAAAACACCACCTACTAAGTCAACTAATCTCTCACATTTATCAACCGGTTGGCACGTCATGTTATGATTCAAACAATAATTTTTTTTACTATATAAACAATTTAATTTTGATATTTTTCTGTGACTTCTAAAAAAGTGTTGCCAAAGTCTCTTAATAAAAAATTACGCATACTATTTTAACATATTTTCAAGTTTCATGTTAAAATCATGGAATTTGCAACAATAGCGATGGTCTACCTTTCATTTTACCTTAGTAGTTGGGGTTCAATAGTTAATAGGGATCATGTGTACAAGTTGGGTATTCTTATGCATTTTCTCATTTTTTTTTGTATTTGCAAATTATAATTGGATTATACATATTGGTTTCTTTTGAATTCATGATGAGTCGTACAATTCTAGAAAGAATATGTTGAAAGGGATCAAAATATGTTCATACCATTTATGGTTTTTTGTTATGTTAATTTTGATATATGTTGAGGTTTCAAAATTAAGGCCAGCCCCCTCAATACATTTGGAATTGACTCATGTTAACATTCCTCTTATCCTATACATAGTTTTTATGACTCGAACCTTTAACATCTAGGTATCAATGGGGCAACCTTACCGTTGTCAAATATTAAAGTAGAATGATGGAGGAAGGAAAAGACACCACAACAAGAAATGGCAAACGAGATGAACTGCACACCAATTGTTACAGGGGGTCATCTGTTATAAACACCAAGTTGTATAGGATATTCCAACATATTTTATGATGAGATTTCAGAAAAAATTATTATGCTACATGAGTCCTACAAACCAGTTACAAGCTAATCAAACTAAAAACTGGCAATTCAAATTCTCTTTCACACTTCTAGGGCTCACAATGATAGTTTACATCTCGTCCAAAAAAAACTCAACTTCTTGGGGCTTTTATTTCAAAGACTTGCATTATTATGCATCCACTTGTATATTATACCATAGTCAAGCACTACCACATAAACGAGTAACCCACCATCATTAGAATCAAACTATATGACTGTCTTTTATGTTATTTCCAATTAACACCAAAAAATGTTAACTCCAATCAAATTCTACATACTTGTAATTCTAAGAATTCAATTCTTTGTGTAATAATAATGATTGCCAATTCCAAAACTTGAACCAACTGCAGCCTTATAGAAATGATCAGATAATCAACTCTTACGAGTCTCAAAATAAAACAAGCCCAAACTTCAAATTGCACCTTGAGTACATTAGAAATACCAAACACAAGGAATACCCAAAAAGCCATGTGTTGAGAAGCCATTGACTCCAAGCAATGTGGGTAAGCTCAACCGGTTTGTCATACCCAAACAAGAAAGGCAGTGGACCAACACAAAAGCACAAATCAAATCTAAATTTTCTAAGGGACATTTTATCAAATAGATTATAGGAATAAACAATCCATTAACTAGGGTTCCCAAAAGAGTAAACAAAGAGACGAATAAAGAGGGAGACAAATTTTTCAAATATATTCCACATAATATACAAATCTGAGAAAACTCAAACAAAATAGAAGTTGAAAGATGAAAAATAGAAAGTTCATACGTGTTCGAGATGGACTGAGATCTCCAATAACTCCAGAAGAATGAAGACCGAAGAGAGAACAGTGTTGTCACGGATGTCGGTGATCACCTAACTCTCCGGCATCGTCGTCAATGGTCGCTAAAGTGGGAGAAGTCCTTCATTCATTCACATAAAGAGGGTATGGAGAGAGTTGCGATGGTGAGGAAGAAAAAAGTAAAGATAAAAGTGATTGGCCGAAGCGATTTTGGATAAGTAAAAAGCTCTATTTTTTAACTTTTATTTTTGGACTTATTTANAGGGTGAGAGAGTTGCGATGGTGAGGAAGAAAAAAGTAAAGATAAAAGTGATTGGCTGAAGCGATTTTGGATAAGTAAAAAGCTCTATTTTTTAACTTTTATTTTTGGACTTANATGGTGAGGAAGAAAAAAGTAAAGATAAAAGTGATTGGCCGAAGCGATTTTGGATAAGTAAAAAGCTCTATTTTTTAACTTTTATTTTTGGACTTATTTAACTGGTAAAATGGTTTTAATTTTTTTAAAATTACTTCTGATAAGTAGTCTCAAACATCATTTTTTTTTAAAACACTTATGATAAGTCAAAAGTCTAAAAAATATTTTTTTTAAGTCAATTCAAACACACTCTAAATCTTTGCTTCAAGTTATTATCATATTTTTTATATTACTACAAATATAACAATGGCTCCCCCTTTTTGNACTTATGATAAGTCAAAAGTCTAAAAAATATTTTTTTAAGTCAATTCAAACACACTCTAAATCTTTGTTTCAAGTTATTATCATATTTTTTATATTACTACAAATATAACAATGGCTCCCCCTTTTTGGATTAAATTTATCATTTATTTTCTCTTTTTTATGCTATTCATATTATGATTTATATTTTCTANTTTTTGGATTAAATTTATCATTTATTTTCTCTTTTTTATGCTATTCATATTATGATTTATATTTTCTAATGAGCATATTCAAGCAAAAAATATTTTAAAAATAATATACTAAGATTGAACTATAGTAAGAATTGAATAATTTGGTTTGTTAATATTTTTTTTGGTAAATAATGTCATTGTGTTTGCTTTAATTGTACAAATGCCAACAGCTTAAAGGGGCATTA